GTGGGAGGGGGGATCGGGATGGGGAATACATGTAAATCCATGGCTGATTGATGTCAATGTATGACAAAAACCACTACAATATTGTAAAGTATTAGCCTCCAACTAATACAAATAAATGAAAAAAAAAAAAGAAAGATGCACCCTTATTTTATATACCACTGATGAAAAAAAATTTCTACCTTTTCATAGTTGTAAGATGCCACTGACTGTAGTATATATACTGATCTCAGAAATGTTAAAGTGTGAAAAAGTGTATATCTTAAAATTGATGAGATAGAGTTCCTTTTTAGCTGTTTGTACTTTGGGTAATATAATCTCAGTAAGAAAAGGCCAGCCTATATTCCCTATGTTGAGAAGAACCATGGGAAAGAGGCATATCTGTGTGTAGGCCAGAGTTTTAGAGGGAGGCCAAGCATGTTGCTTTTGTAACAAGGATTGAAATGAGAGACTTCTGTGGGGAGTGGAGCCTTTGCCAGAGCCTTTCCTCTGCCTTCCTCTTTTTCTACCTTCCCTAACCTCTGAGCACCCACTGTGTCCCCCCTTGCATGGCCTCTTGTCACTTCCTGCATACCTCTCACTTCCTCAGTGTAAGGATGCAGCCAGCAAAATGAACCCCCTACAAAGTGTTTCAGATGGAGGGGGATTGGATATAGGTAGCTGCTAACACAGATAACTGAAGGATGAAAGAGAAGATAGGAGATTCTGAGAAAGCCCTGATATTAGTAACCACAGGAAGTAGCTACAACTCCTAAGGTTGGGGCGGGTGGGGTGGCAGAAAGGAAGAAGTGAGGCTCCTGAGGCCTGGGGGCTGAGGGGCAGGGCCTCTGTGCAGCTGGTGGTCAGGTGGGCGAAGAGGCCCGTGTGCCCGATGCTCAGACTACAGGATGAGGAGGAGAGAGACACAGCTGGCGGATGATGTACCTCTGAGGGTGTTCCACAGGCTGGATTGCCAACAGAAGCTGAAGGCGGAACCTAGAGCTTTTGGAAGGTGCTGGAACAATGCTAATAGGACCTGGGAGCCCTTCTCCCATCTTCCGATCTCTCTCTAGTGCCTTCCATCAGATGATAGCAAGTATGTCTGAGAAATGTGGTTTTCAGAGTCCCAGCCTCAGCACCTAGAGCAGAGTGTAGAAATAGAGGTGTAAATACGCAACACTCAGTTAACCCCTGCTGGAGACTGTTCTTCCAAATATCTGGGGCAGTGTCTAGTCTAGCATAGCCCCTGGGACATGGTATGGGCTAAAAATTATTTGAATTTGAGCTGTTGAAAGTGATGTTTGGTTAATTCAGGAATGTAAAAGGGATCTTACTAGAGAATTCACAGACATTAAAAAAAAACAACAAGGGAATATTATGAACAATTCTATGCTGGTAAATTCAACAGCTTGGATGAAATGAACCAATTCCTTGAAATACATAAATTATCAAAACATACTGTAACCTTCTAACCTTGTTAGAAGAAATAGATCATCTGAATAGTACTCTTTCAAACTAATTAGATTCAAAACTTAAAACCTTCCAACAAAGAAAACTCTAAGCACAGATGGTTTGATGAATGCCATTAAATATTTAACAAAGATCTAATACCAATTCATAATCTCTTTCAGAAAACAAAAGAGGTAGACAGATTCCATAACTCCTTTTATGAGGTCAGCATTACTCTAGTGCCCAAACCAGAAAAAGACACTACAAGAAACAAAAATTGCAGATCAATATCCTTCATGGACAAACAGTTCTCAACAATGTATCAACATTGTTGACTGAACAATGAACTCAGTGATATATAAAAGGGATATTACATCACCATCAAGTGTGGTTTATTTTAGGAATGCAAAGTTGGTTCAACTTTGAAAAATCAATCAGTGTAATTCATTAAAGTAACAGATTGAAGCCACCTTTGGACCATAAAGAAGGCTAAACAAATAATACCAAAGAACTGATGCTTTTGAACTGTGGTTCTGGAGAAGACTCTTGAGAGTCACTTGGACAACAAGAAGATCAATCTAGTCAATTCTGAAGATTCAGGAGATCAATCCTGAATAGTCATTGGAAGGACTGTTGCTGAAGCTGAAACTCTGATACTTTGGCCACCTGATGCAAAGAGCTGGCCCATTGGAAAAGACCCTGATGCTGCGAAAGATTGAGGGCAAGAGGAGAAAGGGGAGACAGAGGATGAGATGGTTGAATAGCACTGTCAACTCAATGGGCATGAATCTGAGCAAACTCTGGGAGATAGAGAAGGATAGGAAGCCTGGCATGTTACAGTCCATGAGGTCGCAAAGAGCCAGATGTGACTTAGCGACTGACCAACAACAACAGACTGAAGAAGGAAAAATCATATGATTATTTCAATAAATGCCAAAAAGCTTATGATGAAATTCAACACTAATTCATGATAACTTTCAGCAAACCATGAATAGAAGAAAAATTCCTTAACCTGGTAAAGAGCATCTACAAAAAAAACCTGTAATAAGCATCATACTTAATAGTGAAAGACTGAGACTAGAAGACTTCTTCTCCAATCACTCCTGCTTAACATTGTGTAAAGACACACAAGTTGGAAACCAAGAAATAAAAACTGTCTCTATTAGCAAACAACATGGTTACTTATATTGAAAAAAATTTTTAATGGATAAAGAAACCCCTCCTAGAACTAATAAGTGAGTTTAGAAAAGTCCAAGTATAAAAAGCCAATACACTAAAAAAAAAAAAAAAGCCAATACACTAAAATCAATTGTATTTATGTACAGTAACAATGAATGACTGGAGTTTTAAATTAAAAAATCCCAGATCATTTTTGTTGTTGTTCACTCACTCAGTGACATCTGACTCTTTGTAACTCCATGGACTGCAGCATGCCAGGCTTCCGGTCCTTTACCATCTCCATCACCATAATCATTTACAATAACATAAAAAGCCTCAACAAATACTTACTTATAAACTGAAAAATTAAAAAAAGCATGTTCCAGATCTGTATGAGAGTGTTTCAAATGAGACGTAGAATAGTGGAGAGATATATACTGTGTTCGTAGTTCTAAAGTTTCATTATTGTTAAGAGGTAAATCCTCTCTGAATTAATCTATGCATTCAACACAACCTTAATCTAAATACCAGTGTGCTTTTTTGGTGGATCTCTGCAAGCAGATTCTAAAATTTATACGGAAAGACAAAGGAATAAGAATAGCCATTTTTCTTTGTCTTTGAGAAAGAAGGGCCAATTGTGAGGACTATTGGACTCAGACATTATCTGAGTTTAAGACCTAATATAAAACTGTAGAACCAAGATAATGTGGTATTGGTGAAATAATAGCCACAAAGATCAATGGAACAGAACAGAGAGTTCAGAAACACAAATACAGTCAACTGATTTTTGATAAAAGTGCAAAGGCAGCTTAATGGAGGGAGGACAGTCTTTTGAACAAATGCTGTTAAAACAATTGTATGTCCACATACGTACATACATAGAACCTTGATTTATAGCTCACACCTTGTACAAAGATTAACTAAAAATACATCATTGACCTAAATGTAAAACGTAAAATTTCTATGAGAAAACACAGAAAAAAAAATCTCTGTAACCTTGGGTTAGGCAAAGAGTATCTACGTGTAACACTAAAAGGATGATATGTTTAAAAATGGATAACCTGAGTTTTGTTAAAAGTAAAAACATTTGCTCTCCAAAGACACTGTCGAGAGAATGAAAACCTACAAACTGGGAAAAAATATTTGAAAAGCGCATCTCAACAGAAGATCTGTAGTCAGAATGTACAGAGAGCTCTCAAGGGCTAACAATAAGAAATTACTACAACTACTATTACTACGAAAATAAATCAACCCCAAATGAGCAGATTTGAAGAGACATTTCACCAGTGAAGATATGTGAAAGTGAAAGTAGCTCAGTCGTGTCCGACTCTTTGCGACCCATGGACTATAAAGTCCATGGAATTCTCCAGGCCAGAAACAGTGGAGTGGTTAGCTGTTCCCTTCTCCAGGGGATCTTCCCAACCCAGAAATCGAAACTAGGTCTCCCACATTGTAGGCAGATTCTTTACCACTGAGCCACAAGGGAAGCCCGAGAATACTGCAGTGGGCAGCCTATCCCTTCTCCAGAGGACCTTCTTGACTCAGGAGTTGAACCGGGGTCTTCTGTATTGCAGGTGGATTCATTACCAACTGAGCTATCAGGGAAGCTCCAGTGAAGGTATACAGATGGCCATAGACACATGAAATCACGCTCAACGTCACAAGTCATTAGGGAAATGCAGGAGCCTCTCACTGCAGTGGTTCCTCTTGTGGCTGAGCACAGGCCCTGGGTGAGCGGAATTCAGCAGGTGCGGGATGTGGGCACAGCACTTGTGGCTCGTGGGCTCTAGAACACAGGCTCAGTAGTTGTGGCACATGGGCTTAGTTGTCCTACAGCACGTGGGATCTTCCTGGACCAAGGTTTGAACCCATGTCCCCTATATTGGCAGGCAGATTTTTAACCCCTAGATCACCTGGGAAGCCCTCCAGGTTTGGGTTCCAATCTATCATTCACATTGATTAACTTTCTGAAGAGCTGAATGCCTAAGCTAAAGTGTCTGAACAAGTGAAAATCTAGCCTATCTTTGGACTTTGGTTTCTTCCCTCGTTGGAGTTACCAGCTTTCCTGTTCATGGTTGAGCTCAAAGGTTAGGTAAAAGACAGGATTCTTCAGGTTCCCAAATACTTCAAAATCAGTCCCACTGAGTCTCTGCCCATAACCATGGGCCAAGATGCTGGCATGAGTCCTCTGTCAAGGACTATTGTGACATGATGTAACTTACTGTTCATGGGAGGCAGGCCAGTGAGCCTCCTAACCCAGACTCAAAGGCCAAAGGGGAAGGTAGAACTTGCCTCAAGGGTTAAGTAGAGGGTTGGCTGATGGGGGCAGAGGGGGGGTGGGGGCAAGGCTCAGAGTGGGAGAGCTGGAAAAGAAGTGTCCAAGGAGGCAGGTGGGGCAGCAGCATCCAGCAGCCTGAAGGGAGCCTCTCCTATTGCCTTTGTGTCAGGCCTCAGTACCCCAGGACCAGAAAGACATAAACCAGGGCCAAGTGTGGGCAGGCAGCGCAGGGCGGGCTGAGGTCCATCCTCACCCAGGCCAGGAGTACGGGATGGTTTTTACAAAAGCACTTGAGGAGTGGGAGGATTGTATACACACAAAGAGACACATTATATCTATGTATACTATGTAACATGTATACATACATGTATGACTTACAGATGTACATTTACATAGTAGCTGCTCAGTTAAATGGTTCTTCATGCTTATGTTTGTGTTATTGGATAGTAAGCTGATGCTGCCTTCTCCCTGTCTCTCTGGGTTGGCCATTTGTGACTTATAATTAGAGTGACTGCATCATTTATTATCCAAACTGGGATACTTTAGTCTGGGACAATTGCTAAACTGTTGGGACCATCAATATTAAAGTCATAAACTGGGCTGTCCTAGGCAAACCAGGTGTGTCGCCACTTGTTTAGACACATCCTGTACTATGAATTTCTTGGCAGAGTATCTCGAGGGCTTTGTGGCTTTATACACAGATACTGGGGGTGTGGGAGTGCAGGATGGGGGAAGGCCTTGGTGTTCCTAGTTATCAAAGGCAGAATTTTGCCCCTTTTGTTTTGAGTTCCTTTGCCCTGGTTTCCCCGGAGGGATTTGGGGTATATGTGCATAGGTCTCTGAAGCTGAGCTGCAAGTCAGTACCGGTATTCTTATAGCTGAGCAAAGAGTGAAAGTGTGTGAATCAAGGGCCATTGTGTTTTATATGCCCCATAAGCTTGTGCAATATATAACCTACACAACTCTTATGTGGTCACCATGTGTGAATGCCTGGGAGAAGGTAAAGAAGTGTTGGTGTATGAAACCAGGACTTTTTCTGGGGAGCTTTAGGGCCTTCTGCAATCTGAGACTCTTAATCAGGTTTAATCTGGTCAAAGTGAATCCCTAGCTGGTTCCTAGCTCAGTGGAACCAGGATGTAAACCTCAGGAGTGGGGGTGAGTAAAAACATAGCGGCCAGGAGGAAAGGTAAAAGGAATGAGTAGGAATTTCCAGCGGAAGGACTCAGGGTTACAGACTGTTAGGAATTTCTCATTCCTTAGCACCTGCTCATTCCCTGCCTATGCCAGCTGAGTAAGACACCAATTCAGGGAACACAGGACAGAGTCGGTTGCAAGTCCTGGATGGTCAGGAAGCTAGGGAAACCAAATCAGGTCTCTACCTTCAGGCTTCCAGAGAGGAGGACATGATGTAAGGAGCTGGAGCATGGGCGCTGGTCTGTGGGCCCAGCACTCACCCCTCTAGGGCAGGGAGGAGGGACAGAAAGCCTGGTTTCTTCTGTGATTCTATCAGGGTAAGTGAGCCCACATCTTACTGCTGGTTCTGAATGAAGAGGAGGGACTTGTCCTTCCTTTCCATGTCCTCTTTCCATTTCCTCTCCTCTGGAAAACCCAGTTATCTTCCACTTTCTGTTCATTTCCCACCTCTGCCCTCTAGCCACGGAGGGGGCGGGAGGCAGTGTGGTATCCAGCAATAACACAGCTTTTGCGGTAGATGGTGCTGTGGCTGAGCCCCAGCTTTGTCACCAATCGTAGTGGGCCTTTGGACAACTCCTGATTTTCTATGTGGTAATAGTGGCTCCTCATGCTGCTGCTGCAAGGACCACATGGTGAGGTTTAAGAGGGACAATGTCCAGGGCCTGGCTCAAAGGAGGAACCCAACTAATCTTCAGAAAGGCCCAGTGTAATCTTTTTGTTTTGGATCTCACATATGTAGAATACACATCCATTCAGGTTCTGATGAGAAAACAGGAAACACCCAAGAAACAGCAGATAGTAGTAGAATATAGATACCTATGAGAGGTCAAAATGATTTCAAGCACTTTAGAAATATTCAGCAAACTAATGAACAAACACATTTTCTCATTAAAGCAAGTCCTCTGAGAAACTGGACAAGTATTCATTGTTAGTTTTGTTCGTTTTGGGATGCAGCACAATTTTCAAAAATATCAGTATGTAACCAGTCCATCCTAAAGGAAATCAGTCCTGAATATTCACTGGAAGGACCGATGCTGAAGCTGAAACTCCAATACTTTGGCCACCTAATGGGAAGAACTGACTCATTGGAAAAGACCCTGATGCTGGGAAAGATTGAAGGCAGGAGGAGAAGGGGACGATAGAGGATGAGATGGGTGGATGGCATCATCAACTCAATAGACATGAGTTTGAGTAAGCTCCAGGAGTTGGTGGTGGACAGGGAGTCCTGGTGTGGTGCAGTCCATGGGGTTGCAAAGAGTCAGACATTACTGAGTGACTTAACTGAACCGAACTGGACTATCCCTGTCCTGTTCTGCCTGCCCAGTGCTCCCCCAAGTTTCCCTCTCCTCCTGCTCTGCTTTCCCAGTAGCTCCGAAAGTACCCCTTATCTCAAAGTTGTGCTTCCTCCCTGGTCTGAACTCCAAAGTCTATGCCTCTTTTCTACTCTGTGCTTTTGAAACTATCCTTTCTCAGAGAGGCATTGCCAATGGATGTATAAGGCAGGGTTCATAAACCATCTGCAAAAGGCTTCATATATTTCAAATTATTGGGCGGAAATGAGTTCTTTAATAATCCTGGGAAAACCAGCTAAGTCAATACTGGGAACACCATTTGGATAAAAAAATAAAGCTGGATATTGTCTTTAATTCTTTTTTTTTCTTTTTAATTTTTATCCTATGTCCCGCAGATGAATTTTTTTTTGTTTTTTTTTTCATTTACTTTTAGTAGTTGGAGGCTAATTACTTTACAATATTGTAGTGGTTTTTGTCATACATTGACATCAATCAGCCATGGATTTACATGTATTCCCGATCCTAGATGCCCATCAGCAGACGAATGGAT